ATGTGCCCACTACACATCCTGCCTCTCACGTTGTAGATTATTTCTTTACAGTTGTGTTAGGATTCAATTCTGAAATCTTGTTCACAAGTTGGTGCCTGGCCAGGATGACTTACACAACTTTCTGTCAAATTAAATGGAGTTGGACAATAATAGTCTGCTGGAACTCCCAAATCACTGCTACTTGGGCCTTATAAATTTGGACATTTGTTTAGGACCTTTGCTCTGAGTTCCTTGAGGGCAGGGGAACCTGGAGGCAGTTCCTGCTACAAACACATTTGTGTGTTAATGACTGTGATCATGACAGTGTGATGAAGAAGAGCTCTTTTCATTAGGCCAAGCCTTGCCAAGGTAAGCTTCTTCAAACCAAGTCTGAAAAGGTGGTTCTGTGATCTTCTCATGAACAATGTCTTGTACAATTACTCCCAGGAAGCCTTAACAGTCTTACTAATCTCATAGAAGGAGACACGTAAGGCCAAATGTTGCCTATTTTCACTCCAGAAATACAAGGTGTTCATTAGCTAACCCAAAACTATGCCTCCTTTGTCATTGGTGAAGCACAGGCATACATTTTGAGACTTTTTGGTCACATGATAGCCTTTACCCTTCACTCAAGAGGCAAAGATGACACAAACCAATGCACAAACCAGCAGGCACTGTGTGGAAAGAAAATCTCAAAGGGTAAGACAGAATTATGGCTGTAGCATGGCAAGCGCAAGAGAATTTTACATTTGATTAGATTTCAAGTGTCTCAGCTACATGAGAAAGGGTTTCTCCTGCAGTGTTAAATGAATGAAGCAGAAAACAAGTTAAGCATGCAGTAGATCCCTGACATCCAGGAGGGGCTTGCCTCTGGATTTCTGGGAGTGCCCACGTTGGCACTGCCACCAGAATATGTACTGTCCTGTGTATATGGAGCATATGATGGGATTAGTGATGTCATAGCTCCAAGTCACCTGTGAAAAACATTCTTAATTTTAGCCGAAAGCCAATACATCTTTCCTCCCATTATAACTATTAAGTTTTTGTTTCCCTCTTGAGGGCACTTTTGGCTAGGATACAAAGCATTTTATCACTTCATAAAAATGACGGCATAAATGACACCAGCAAAGAGCAACAAAGCTCTCTCGGGATGGAATTGCTGGCCTCCAGGTACACGCACTTATAGTGTAAGGGATGCAAATTCCCGTCTCAGCCAAATGTCAAGTCACTACAAGTCATGGACATTCAAGCTTCCTTGAGAATAGTAGACACCAAGAACATTAAGTTACTGATATCCAAGTGTCTATTGTATACAGTATGATTTCATCTGTGTTACGAGCTATAGACAAGATAAAATAATAAAGCAAAAGCATTAACAAAGTTTATCTGAGAGCACTAGAGATTATTAGTGAGTTTCATTTTTTCATCATATTAATAGCTTTTTAACTCATTAACATTTCTAAGTTAATATTAAGAATCAGAAGAAGAGCCCTAAAAACATAAAAGCTATTTTGAAAAGAACAGGCTAGATGTCAATGACCTTTTTAAACCCCAAGAACCATTAAATCAGTGGTTCTAAACCTTCCTAATATCGTGACCTTTTAATACAGTTCCACATGTTGTGTTGTCCCCCAACCATAAAATTATTTTCATTTTTTTATGCTACTTCATAACTGTAATTTTGCTACTGTTATGAATCTTAATGTAAATATCTGTGTTTTCTGATGGTCTTAGGCTCTTCAGTAGCAGTTCTCAATCTATGGGTCGCTAGCAAGGTTGCCTAAGGCCATTGGAAAACACAGATATTTACATCACGTTTCATAACAGTAGCAAAATTACAGTTATGAAGTAGTAACGAAAATAATTTTATGGTTGGGGGTTATCACAACATGAGGAACTGTATTAAAGGGTCGCGGCATTAAGAAGGTTAAGAACCACTGCTCAGCCATGCAAGCCAGCAGATATTGTTGGTGAGTGAAATGAGCAAGTGATGTTGTTCCTTAGTTCAAATATATAACAATTATTTATTTTAAAGCAAATTAATGACAACAGTGATGCTCTTTGGAGAACAAATCCTCAATTGGATATCATGTATTATGGCTAATGGTTGTCATATCCTATTTGTTTTGGTTGTAGACATGTAGTAATGAAAAATTCTCCTCATCACAGAGAAGTAGTCGCTAATGGTAACAGCTTTCATAGCTCACCTTGCAATCTTAGGAAATTTAATTTTCCAATTAAGCTGGCATAATAGAAGAAATGAATGAGAGTGCAAAATGTATTTACTTTGGTGGTACAATATTTTTACAACTGTTACCACATTTTTATAACTTAGCTTAGTTCAAATAAGCTAAAATTAATTTGACATGTTTAAATACATTTTAAGTTATTATTTATATAGTTCAAAATATAGAAAATGAAATTTAACAAAGCAACTATGAGAAACAACAGGTCTGTAGGCACAGTTTGAAAACCACTCATTTAATATAACAAATAATCGTCTTATTCCCATTTTGTGGGGGAGAGAACTGAGGTCCAGAGGGTAAAGTAATAAGCTTAGGGTTACAAACTTAATTATTTAGTGATCCTTTTGCTGTCCACTATCTTTCCAATCTTAATAAGGAATAAATGTGGCTATCTGAATGGAATTTGTTCTCAAATAATATACAATAGGTCAACTCTAGTCTAAGGCACATAAAGTGAACAAATATCTCATTGGCTAAATAAAATAACAACTTGTGACTTTAAGATTGTCTATTATTTTCCCTTTTGTTGGCTGCTAGTTTTGCACACAAAGGCATTGGTTTAATATTATTGTGCCACTCCTGATTTTACTATTGGACAGTTAAGTTTGTAATTAGGAAACAGTTCCTTTAGGATGGGTTCCACTGTCTGATAGGAGGGTAAAGCTCTTCTACAGTCTGTTTATTCTTACTCAGACCATCATTTCTTATTTTCTCTTTGAATTCAGAAAGGTTGCTTTGATCCCAGGCATACAAATGAGTTCAGTAAGTTTCCCAGTAATCCTGAAGTATCTTAACTTTGGAGCAGTGTATCTACATTTCCTAAAGCAGATTCCTCTTAAACCCCTCCTACTGCTCAGTATTAATTTTACAGCTTTGTTTAATTACTTCTGGAATAATAAAAAAAGAAGCTTCCTGGCATGTGCGTCTAACTTAATTTTTCTTCCTCCTTTTCTTTTTTAAATAGCCACCTGTCCCAACATGTGCTGTATTAGGTGTTTTAAAATAACATAGGATGCAGAAAAAGCACACATTTCATGGGCAAATGCCTTTTGATATAGAATGACCTTTTGCTTTTGGATAATAAGACATAGACCATGAACATGATTCCAACAGAGGAGGTAGGTAAAAATTAGAAGCCAGAAAAAATTGCATAAATTTATTCTGATTGTAAGCATTTTCTTAAGATGGTTAACGTAATACTTTTATTTTACAGCTGTCTTTCCCCCAGTGGGGAAAAGCTTTATGTAGTCATGGGAGTGAATCCTTCATTTCTCCTAGAAATACATATATATATTTTTATGGAAATATGTTTAAGATTTTCAAAGTTTCTCTATGGCTGAGCCAACTTGACTGAATTAGGTTAACTATGCTTTTCAATGGAATGGAATTTCTGGTATAGATATGGATAAAGATGTTTAATAATAGAATAATTTTAAAATGGGATTGAATTACATTAGGTATAATTATCTTGGCTAATAATACTTCATACCTTAATATTTCCAAAATAAAGATGTCCAAGCAAAATTCTGACACCTCATTCAAATTTATGCCATATATAATTTTTAATATAGAATTTTCCGCTGTAATATGAAGCTACCCTAAGCTTCACCTGAATGATATAATTATAAAATACTATTATTTCTGTTTCTTACATAAAAACCTGTCATTCTGAGTTTACTTTTATAAGCTAGGTATATGAAATAGGTAATTCCACATCACATGTAGCATTTAGAATTCATGAATATGAGGCAGAAAGAGTCCAAGTAAACTTTAAAAAGTTAACAGCAAAACCTAAAATTGTATTGCCTCCAATTCAAAGATAGGATGACTTTCATCCACATTGCTCATATGATATTTTAAGTATTCAAAGTTTGGTTTTATGCACATATATTTGGTAAACTATGCTTTTAATAAGTAACAACGAGGCGGTTCTCAGAAATTGAAGAAGCTTGCAAAAGACTTCTTTGTCTTTCGGTTTTCATGATTAATTTTGTAGAAGAGTTTCCTTATGTCCTTCCTCATATATTGGGAGTGAGTAAGTTCATAAATAGATTGAATATAAAGTGTTGCAACTATAAATACTACACCTATAGCTTGCACTTCTACGACTACTCCTCATTTGAGATGTTTCATTTGTCAGTCTCATTCCTGATCCTGCAAGTAATTGAGGGCCAATTATGGTTTCCAAAAAGCAAACAATGATATGTGACAGCATCAAGTGTCTCTTTAAAGCTACTAATTAAAAAAGACCTTTGAAAATATTTGACTATTGGAAATAAGTCCTGCTTCCTCTTTAATAAGGGCTGAGTTTATTCAAATATAGAATAAAGACTGTTCTAAGACTGGTTTTGAGTCCAGTCAATCAGGATGGAAAATGGGTCAGCTGGGACCCTGGATGGGTATGCTATGATCATGTCACTGATTAGGTAACAGAGTTGAAACAGAAAGAATACTTAGAACATTGTGCCATCATATTTGTTAGGGCTATTAACCTGGACCTTGTTAAGGAGAGAAACAAGTAACAATGATGAACCAAAGATCAGAAGAGAAAATAAATGACTGTGAGTGCTTCACATGTAGCTCTATGAATGGAAAATCTGTAGACCCTGGGATGATGTCATAGCAGCAAGTACAAGGGGCCTGGGCACTAATAACACCAGGTTAGGAATGGATACTGGAAAGCAACTCTTACTTATTTTTAAGCAAAACATCTTAATCTAGGAAGCTTATTTGAAACTTTATGGTTACAATAGATGAACTGGTCAATACACTGACCTGGCTGGACAAGGATCCAAGTTGCACTCCTGAAGTTTGGGCTTGGGCTTGATGTTCTCTGGGTAATAGTGACAGTACTGATCGGCAACCACGCGGTTGCTCCGAAGATCGTAACACTCAGCCGATGTCAGCTGGTAGCCTGCAGTATCAAACCATATGAGTGAGTTTAAAGGCACAGGTCAGTATAACATATTTATTCAGGCTTTTTAGCCATCCTCCTGTTAAGGAAATTCTTCCTCGATGCGCCAGTCATTTCCAGGACTAAAGACAGATAAATGGAAGGCTCATTAACTTTTAATAGTTAAATCATACTATAGGTCCTAAACTACAGGAGGGCATAAGATTTGAGTTTATAAGATTCTGTCATAAGAATTATTGTTATTTATTTGTTTCACATAATCTAAAAATCTAACACAGATTCTGTATCCCAAAGAGATCATCAATCTGGCTGGGTTAAATGGAGTAAATGGATGATTAAAACCTTAACAGTGGCTATTGTGAATTCCATGGTTTCCTGCAGATAAAAACAAGAAGCCTCCTACTGTATAATTTTTGCTTCTCCTCAAATCCACTGTCATTTCTCTTTAAGTTTCTAGCCAATATTTCTTAGGTTCTATGTACAAATTTCCACTCTTAGAGAATCCTCTTGAAAAAAAAAAAAAAGTGGTGCAGAGTATTACTTACTAGAAATTCTACTGACAATGTGTTTTATCTTTTTTAACCTGCTTCTTTCTTGTCCTATGAATTTTTGGTACAGTTCTGATGAGGATTTACTAGTAGATTCTTGGGGTGAGAAATAAATGCACATAGAAAATTTTTAAAAATTAGATTTTTTTTGCATCATTCTAGCCCTAACTCCAAAATATATTCTCTCTGGCAGTGGTTGAATATTGTTGTTGCTAAATACACGTTAGAAAAGCAGATTTAGAGTACTTAAAAGTCTTGCAAAATTTTTTAGGAAATCAGACAGAGGTTTATAAATCAGAATTCCTGGCTTGAGGCTGTTTTCTCAGACCACCCACAAAAATTAATTGTTCATTTAGACCTAAAAAAAAATCTTTTAATCATTTTACTGTAAAGATGAAAAACACTTTAAGTTAATGGGTAAAAGCACATGTTCCATTTAATCTTTTGTTTTATAAGAAAAATCAAAGAGCAAAATTTTATTTTATTCAAGTAAATATATCTTTAGTAGTCAATTATATTATACTCAAAAGTCAATAAGTTTATGACAAGATAATCATTTTATAATTTTTCAAAAAATAATTTCTACTCAAGTACAGACTTTATCACATAGTAAGGTGTGGGTACAAGCAAAAACAACTTATAAATCTGAGGTTATGATTTTTAAAAATTGTAATTTGTCAGCATTAAAATGTTGCTGTGAAACTTTCTAGAGTATATGAAATGGAAGTTTAGATAAAAAAATTAAATAAATGACCAAAATGGTCAGATAATTGTATTTTCTAAAGTTTCAGAAGGTTTTTGGAATAGCAATTCTTTACCCTTAGCACAATGATTAACCAGTTGAATCTGGAGCCAGAAACATAAAAGGCAATTTAGAGATCATTTCTTAAGTAATTTTAAAACTGTGGTCCATGAAGGCTGGTTTCTATATTCCTCACATCTTTGCTCTGAGCAGTAGGTATTCCTTTTACTTCCAAATAAGATTTCTTTTTTTGTAGAAGGCTTTGACAGCTCAAAACATTTGAAAACCACTGATGGTTCTACTTCTTCACTTAGATGTGAAGAAAATAGGTCAAAGGGCTGGAAGAGACATGAGTCTAACATTAATTGACTCATATAGAGAGCCACTGTCAAGGTTACTCCAAAAGCAGCTGTATGTGAAACACAAAGTGGGCATATTATTGAACTGCTACTTCTCTAAAAACTTGGTTTAATTTAAAAAGAATTTTCTCCCCCCCTGTGATTTCTTTACTTGAAACCACTCTCTATGTTAGTCATTAACAGGTGAATCAAAATGCCATATTCCTCACGAAACATCAACAAAATTGGCAGTTATTTTTTAAACCAAGTTATTTTCTATTCAGGACGTATAGAGCAACTGCAAAGACTATTTTATTAAAATGCTGAAGATGTTGAGAGAATAGTTCTTTAATAATCAAGTTAAAAGTACTTTTATGTATTTTTTGGTTAATTGCTTTTAAACTAAAATCTAATTTTGCTCTACGGAACCTCACATTCAGCGGTTTGTTCACATTATGTAGACGTAGATAACAGAGACAAAGATAAATTATGTATGTTAACTGCTTTTACTATCCATAAAAATTAATGGATAGTCATTTGTCTTCATTTTGAGGTACCATCCTTCTTTTCTCTTGTCAAAATAATCTAGTAATACCTCTGTGGATTAGTTACTTAAAGCCAACCAATTAACAGGCTTCCATGAAGCTAGGGCCAGAATGTATCTGATGTCCTCATTTTTAAAGGAATATATATATATATATATATATATATATATATATTCAATTTTACATCCATTACATTACCAAAGCTTATAAAGTGATAATCCACAAATGGCTGGCTCAGTGGAAATGGAACTAAGATATTCTGGAAAGAATTTTGGTAATACATGCCAATGGCCACAAAAATTCAAAAACACACTCTGGAGAATTTATTTCAAGGAAATAATTTCAAAGGAGAAAAAAAATACTTGGGTATCAAGTTATCCATCACATTATAATAGAGAATTTTAAATGAATTAAATGTTCTTCTAAAGGGATATGGCTAAATCAACTATAAAATAATTCAAAGAAATTATTATGTAACCCATATAATTATGAAGAGCAGAAAAACCTTTTCCAGTGGCACAAAATGCTCCACACTACAGATGTGATGGGGCAAAGACAGATATTCATTTGTTGACTTTTCAAAAGAGATGTGTTTTTATGAATAAACTAGAGGCCCAGTGCATGAATTTGTGCATGGGTGGGGTCCCTCCACCTGCAATTGGGGCCAATCAGGGCCAATTGGGGCCAGTAGCCAGGGAGGGACTGCAGGAGGGACAATAGGAGAGCTCCAGGGCGTGTCCGGCCCCATCTCACCTAGCAGCAAGGTAAACTACCAGTTGGAGCATCTGACCCCTGGTGGTCAGTGCATGTCGTAGCAACCGATTGGTCAACTACTTAGTTGGGCACTTAGCATATTAGGCTTTTATGTATATAGATAAGGCAGTGACATTACTTTTACTGCACAGATTATGGGGTAGAGCTAAAAAATAACTGAGCCGCTGAAACCGGTTTGGCTCAGTGGATAGAGCGTCGGCCTGCGGACTGAAAGGTCCCGGGTTCAATTCCAATCAAGGGCATGTACCTTGGTTGCGGGCACATCCCTAGTAGGGCGTGTGCAAGAGGCAGCTGATCGATGATTCTCTCTCATCGATGTTTCTAACTCTCTATCCCTCTCTCCCTCTCTGTAAAAAAATCAATAAAATACATTAAAACAAACAAACAAACAAATAAATAAATAATTGAGCCAAAGTCTGCAGTACAGTGATTACTTCTCCCTCTCATCCCCCAATAGACTACTACCTTTAATTAATCTCTTTTTGGACACATCATGCTATCAAATAGGCCACATGAATACTCTTCACTTGATTCCTGAATAAATAAGTTCACTCCAACCAGATGAATAGTTTTCCCTCAAATAAAAAGAATCGCCTTCAGACCACACTGATGCCAAGTTCTGACACTCCCTGCCCTGGCCTTCCATGGATTCAAAGAAAGGAGTGGAGAGCGTTTCCTCTAATGGATTCCATAGACAGGAACTAGAGCATCTGCCTTGTGGGAGGGCTTCAGGATTTGGCCCCATTCAGAAGAAAGGATCTGACCCCACAGCACTACATTTCTTCTTTGCTGAAGTGACTCTACTCTTCCAATAGCCAAGTCTTCCCTCTTAGTCGCCATGGGATTCTAGGCTAGATGAACAACACTGTTACCTCCTCCGCAGGTTGCTGAGCAAGGAAAGAAATCCGTCTCCCTCCATCGGTGGATGATGGGCTGGTAGAAGGTGAACTGGACTGTGCTGTTAGCAGGCCCCGAGTTGTGGATCTGTGGGAGACAACAGCAATGTAGAGGTGCTAGTGTGACAGGCAGGTGCTTTCTGGGTCCCTTGCCACTCTGAACAAGGAAGTGTGGGAGTGCTGATGGCCTTAGGCTGTGTAAAGGGCTGCGTTGGGAGAGAAGTGGCAACAGCCATATCACCTGTCTTACCATTTAACCAACAAATGCTTCTTGCATATACCCACTGTCAATCATCACTTTCCCAGTTCCCTTGTAAGTGCCATAGGATCTTATCCAAAGCTACTTAGTCCCTCACTCTCTTTTATTTCCATCCTCTCTGGTATAATGGGTAAAATTATGTAAATTTTAAAATGTAAGATCACAAAAAGACAATTTGTTCTAAGAAAATTTTAAATGTCATTTGCTGCAAAAAAAAGAAAGACAGAAAGATTCTTCTTTGGTTAAGAAAAATAAGAGTCAAAGTACTAAGTAGCTCTTTCCACTCAGAGACATACATGGAGTTTCCTGACAACTTGGTGATTTATATATTCTAATGTGCAAAGTTACCAATTGGAAGTTTGCTAAAATGCGAATTCCTGGGCTCAAGCCCAGAGATCCAGGCAATTCGAATGTAGCATAGTCCAAGAACAAAACTTTGAAAAACTCCAACTTACAGAATTGAAAGCAAATACATCAAATAAAATATGTGCTTATGGAAATGACAACTCCCCCCCCCCTCCCTTTTTTTTTTTTTTTTTAAAGAAAGGATATGAGGCAATCAATCCTTAATGGTTCTTAAAAGTATAAGGTTGAGAGAACATACTCACACTGAAAGAGAAGAAAAAGGTACCAAACAGGAATGGTGCCTTGATTTGGTGAAGACAGAATGACATATGATACAACACTTAGAGGGCAAGGCTTGGACTGATTTTTATAGTAAAAGAAGTTCTATGGACAACTGAGAGGATCATCTCTTACTCCAACTCCATTACAGGAATGAGGGGTGTCATCAGGTGAATCTTGTGGCCAAAGTCTTTGTCAATGTTTTCGAGGCTTACTACCTTGTAACTCAGATATGTGGATAGATTCGGCCTTCAGATTTTTAAAAAAGAGCCTTATTCTTCTGCTACTGAATTTAACAACTGGATTAAACATCTAGGATAACAGGAACACTGAAGAAACAGGGAATAGATCCTGACCCCCAGATGGATGTTTGGAGTTTGGATGAGAATTTGGGAATGTTCCTCAGAAAATCTGGAAAAGCTGGAAAGGAGAAAGAAGAAAAAGAGAAAAGCTATCATTTATCTCATGTCATGCTGGGATTCTGACCCATGGTGCATCCAGGTCTTTCCTGATTAGAATAAACAGTGATACGATTCCCTACTTTAAAGCAAAAACAGCTGAAGCAATACGATGTCTTTCAAAAATGGGGAGCATGGCCTACAGATGAATATTTTTCAGTCCAGTGTGTCAAATACAGGATATTTAATTGCTTGCTTAGGGATGCAGTATTAATCACATTCTTTGGAAAGTTTTATTTTTATTTTTTAAGCTCACAAAAGCCTATGGCTCTCTGGGGATGTGCCGTTATCATGCTGGAAAGCTATTAGAAGAAGGCTCTGATTTGAACAAAAGCTCCATGAAAAATAAAAAGGCCAGAAAATCTGTTTAGATCTGAGAAATGAATTGTTTTGCAGGGGTCCCTTTTGGGATGCTATAGATTAATCTGAGTACTGGGTAAGTGGGGGGTAGGTTGGGGAATCAAGATTAGCGGAATATAACATCAAAATACCTGGACACTTTGATGTCATGGTGTCAAGGCGATCTGGTGTCAAGCGAGAGGGTTACTAAACATCATGTTGAAGCGGGGAAAAGCAGCTTAGAAAGAATACTGTCCTTAATGAATTCAATGAAAGCACGAAGTGTAATGACAACAAATGCTGAGACTGAATGTCCACATTTGAGAAGAGATTGCTAACTGGATTGAACATCTAGGATGCCAGAGGAGAACAGGAAGGGGAAGAAATGGGGAAGAGGTTCCACCCCTAGATGGGTATTTTGTTTATTTACATTGATAACATTCCTGCTTCTCTCTGCTCTGTCATTGAATTGCTACAATTCCCAAGGCAATCAGTACTACCGTCCTACCTGGTGCAGGACACGTTTTATTTATGTGTCCTGCACCAGGTAGGACTTAAAACTCCTCCTGCATTATCTTCCACATTGGCATCACAATTAGAGAAAGGAGGCACAGAGAGGTTAAGTATCTTTGTCAAGGCTACCCAGCTAGGAAAAAAACCAAGCTGGGATTTGGATTCAGGTGTGCCTGGTCCTAAAGCTGCCATTCTTCTCATGGAATCAAGCAATCTTTGTTAGTGCTGTGAAGATACAGGTATTCATCGTTAGCAGTATTCTTATACCTCTCTTCTCAGTATCTTCTTACTTTTTCATTTTAAAGCAGGAAAAAATGTTTCAAATAAAAAGAAGGGGCTAACCTGATGTCTTAGTTTGATGGCCTAATTGTTGCTTACAGAGATGAGCCACTGTGTTCCTTTTTGGTTTTATTATTTCTGGGCTGCTCGGATCACTGTTATCATCTGCCCTGAAGCGTCATAAACCCTAAATCCTTAAAACTCAGGTCCTAGTATGAATGCTTCAGTGAGACACATCAGAATTTCGTTTAAAGGAGCTAAATACATCTGGCATGTGTAATTTTGACCTCCTTAAGTTAATAAGCAAAAAGAATGTTCTGAACCATGCTTTTCTTCCGATAATTACAATGATTCGGTGTTTCTAATTCAATTTAATGACTTCTCACACTGAAAGTAAAAGAGACAAAACTGGACACTTGCCATAGCGACTGATTGCACTGTCATAATAGAGCTGCAGGGAAGTACAAATGGCATGTGGGTAGCAGTTGAGCTTTAAGTGCATGTAAAATCAAAAGAATTAGGAGCAATTTCAAATAAATGAAAGACATCAGATACACAAAGGCTCTCCCAGATGAAGCACTGTGAAATGCCACACCTCTTGCTTCTCATTTGGGAGGAGGGTTAGCTGTGAGCCTTGGAATATGCCTCAACTAGGCTCCTTTCTTTCTATGATGTTGCAGGAAAACTTTTCCTCCGGACAGATGAGTAGGGGGCTGGCATTCAGGAGTCCCCCCACCCACCTTGGCTGCAGGTGAATTGTTGTTCTGGCCTGAGGAGAGGAGGACAAAAGGGAGCTGTGGGCAGGCCTGTTCCCATGAGCCTCTGAGCTGGAACCCACAATGGCATTCAATTTGGCTACACTGGTCTCGGGCAGCCAGGGGTATCATGACCAGGCTGTGCTTGAAAGTGGTAGAAACACATCACTATGTCAGCTAAAAAGGGAATAAAATGAAAAATAGGTAACTCTATCTTTTAAATGTTTCAGTCTATTATGTTCAATTTTGGACTGTTCTGGTGGTTAATGGTGATAGTGAATCCTCAGGGAACTGTAAAAATACTTTAAAATGCTTTTCTGGGCTTTCTAAATATGCAACAAGATCTTCCTTATATCACTTAAATGCTTACAAGCACTAGATATCGACGCAATTGTTATTTCATTGCCTTTCTCCTCCATATGCTATAAATGCCATGCAGGCAGGCGCCATTTATCTTGCTCAGCACTTTCTTCAGCATCATCTACAACGCTTGGCACATATTAAGCAACCAACCAATTGCTAAACAAATGAATGCAGGAGTGAACAAATAAATGAATTACATAATGATCATGATTGTTTCAGATTCTCTCTGTGGTAAATTCTTAGAATAATTATCATTATATGTGTATATCGACCAGTTTTTCTGAAGATGTTATTGATCATTTCTTGTTGACAAAATGTATGTTGATAAAATGTTGCTAAAGTTCATGAGAAGAAGCAGTGCTGTTATAGCACAACCCTTACCCAACAGTACTCCCACTGTCCTTTGATAATACAGTAATATGGCAGAGTAGAAAGGGCTTGCAAAAAGGCTAATTATTATTAGCATTTGGAGTGAAATATAAATTCAATTGTTCCATTGTTGGAAATACTTGACAACTTCAACAACTGGAAATACTAAGATTAGGGATTACTCAGTAAAAATAATGATAAAAAATTATTAGCTTCCAACTTTACGTTTCCACTTCTTATAGAGTTCTCTAATCCTCCTACATTTCCAGTCCTCAATATTGGACCAAGGTTGCATGAGAGATGTCGGTTATGGATTGGCAGCCCACAGTCCTTGAGTAAGGCAGCAGACCAGAGATGTCTCTCTGGAAATAATGGGTATAATGTTAACTACAAAGGCTTCCTTAATCACATTAGCCAGTAGCAAGTAACTACAGCTTTTATTCTGTCCATTTTAGTTTAGTACTTCATTATATGCATCACTATTTCAACATTTCCTATCCAGTGTGTTATCTCTCAAATGACATTATAAACTGGGAAAGGGCTGATAATACATCTGGGTGTGGAATTATGTACAGGGTTATGCTGAAGGATGTCCAGAAAGAAATATGAAGGCATTATCTCTGTCTAATACTCCAAATGGAAACCATGGTATTTCTAGTTCCTAGACTACTCAAACAAGTTTCCTGGGCTGCAATTAGAATGAAGTCAATCTTCTTAACCCAAATTCTCCACCTATAAAAATGTAATGCATTTAGTAAATTATCCTCTGTAGAAAATAACTGGTCTTTAGTTATCAATGCATGAACTGTGAGTCAGTGTTCTTAGCTCTAAGTGTACTTATTGTTTACTGTTCTGCTGTGTATTTCTGCCCTTTTGGTGGCTTGGGCACTCTCATCAGTCTTTTTTTTATCTATCTAATATGGATTTATTCTTAAATCTTAAAAATGAGCACACATTGACATGAATAAATGTAACTAAGTTTCTTGTACAAGTAGAACTAAGTTGGAAATTCTAATCCTATATAATAAAAGGCTAATATGCAAATTGTCCCCTCCACCAGGAGCTTGACCAGCGGGTAGGCCAGCTGGCCAACCTCCCGTGCCCCCTCCCCCGGCCAGCCTGCCTGATCAGGGCTGATCAGGATGGGCTGGCTGGATGCCCCGCTGCCCCTCTCCACTCTCCCCCTCCCCCCAAACAAATTGGTGCATTGGGCCTCTAGTAAAGGATAAACCATAACTGAAAAAGACCATCTAGTATCTGGGAAAGTCATTATCTTCTGTTGAATCTGCAGCTTGAGGAAGGATGCAAATGGCATGGTAGGAGGAAGGGGATATTAAACCAGGCAGCCATCCAGCCAATAGTCAATTGTCCCTGACAATTACTGTCACAGCCAGTCTGCTCTCACATCCATGTGTCTTAATAGCTACACCTGCCAAGTTGTTCCTGAGTATACCAGTTATTTGTAAATTGACCATCTTCAGAAAGGCAGCTTTCTGAGTATACAGACTATTGGGGCAAGTTGTATCGGAAGTTAAAGCATTTTAAAAATATGGAAAGGCAGTAATTTGGATCTATCTGCTATTATGCACACTATCTGATTCAATTCCTCACAAAGACTATGGGGAGTATTTTATTACCATTTTTCAAATGAGTAAATAGGCTCGAGAAGGTCAAATAACAGACTGAGGCTGTGTATCCAATGAGTAGGAGACTATACCAAACTCTAGAAAGCATATCTTTTGTACCACTCTACATGAGCATTGCCAAAATGTTGTACAGCCAATGCATAAGGTTTAAATTTTTGGAAGATATGCTTCCCTAGGAAGCAAGGTGATAATTCAGTCTGGTTTTAACCTTTAAAAGAGACTTCAAAATATAACTTTGGAACCAATGGCAATCCATGATGATTCTCACTGTGAGAAAATTTCCCTTCCATGCAAAAAAATGTTTTTTTCTTCTTTTTAATAAACAAAATTTGTGTTTTGGCAATAGTTTCCATAAAGGTGTTGACAACCATTTCCATTTTGATTCCTATGTATCTCATTCAAAAAGGAAGTCATTGCTTAAATTATCATATAATGCACTTTGAATGATACTGAGGATGAATGACAAATTATGTATATAATTTTTAAGCACCTAAATAATGAAAAATGATAAAAATCAAATGGCAACCTTTTATTTTCAGCTATTCCTAGAGGAAAATTAGGGAAGAAAAGTTTCTTCATTACGAATCACTGGAAAAAAAATAATTTTCTTCTTTTCTCTATATCTTCTTAAATTATATGACTCATTTTCAAGTTTAAATAGGCTGATTTAAAAAATTACATAATCTATTTTAGAATAACTTGACATTTATTTGATCCTGATATTTTCTAATAAAACCTAAATTTTCTCTCAGTTGCAACTGAAACTCAATTGCAAATAGGATATATAATGGAAAAATCACTGAAATGATAGCTTAGTTTTATAGTTGGCAAAGTGAGGCTCGAGAGCCATATTTGGTTCTTTGGCCCCTTGAGTATGGCTCGTCCACAAAACACCACAGCCTGGGCCAGTCTATTTTGAAGAGTGGCATTAGAAGAAGTTTAAGTTTAAAACATTTAGCTCTCAAAAGAAGTTTCAATCTTTGTACTGTAGATATCTATTTGGCTCTGTTGACTAATGAGTTTGCCAACCACTGGCTTAGTTTGTTTCTAAATGAACACATTTATAGATTGCAGGCATCTAGGAAAATATCAAGACTTCTTTAAAGTCCATTTCCCCCCTTAAATATGTGTATTTACATGTAGAAAAAAATATATAGTCTTAGAAACAACAGAGAATACTGAAAAGGGTTCTGGGCCAGAAGAAAAGAGGTTATTTTTTATTGTGGTTTGTCATCAGGGTGAGCTTAGTTACATCCCTCATCTTCCCTAAAGCTCAGTTTCCTTGTAGGTAACATGAAGATGTCAGCATTTGTCCCAGCAACTGCCATGTGGCTAAAGTCTTTTTATTCACCCAACTCTTGGTAGGGTTTATTGTGTTTTCTTATGAAGACATATAATTTATTCCCTGGCCCTCAAGGAATACAAAGTAGGAAGATGTAATGTAAACAGGAATGTTGGGTTGTATCACAGCATGCTTCTGGTTGGAGAAAATACTGAAGAACAGTTATAAGTTAGTGAAGTGAATGGAAAAAGAAAAGATAATAGCATTTAGACAGAGGGAACAGCATTGAGCAAAGGTAATCAGTTATGGGATTGCAAAATTTGGGGACCTGTGAGCCTTTCAGTTGGTTGAAAGAGAAGAGCAAAACTCAAAGGTAAAATTGGAAGGGTGGATGAACCCGGATTATTGAGAGTTACACATGCTATGGGTCTGCATTTAACCCCAAAGCAATGGGGATGGTGGTGAGGAACAATGGAGCATTATGAAGAGAGGGGTTCTGGTTTTAGAAAACTCACTCTGAAGGCAACATGGGTAATGAATCAGAGGCTTGGAAACTAATTCAGAGGCAATGATATTACTTCCGGTGAGAAATTCAAAGGACTAAAGGAGGAGAAGAAAAAATAGTTGTAAAGAATGATATAGAGGTAGAGCTGACAAAGTGTAATGTCTAATGAGGGGTCTAGGAGATGGGGAAATTCATGTGAATTAAAGTTTTTTGAATGGGCTGGGAAAACATTGTATTATTTCTTAAGATAAGAAATCAAGAAGCTCGAGCAGATTTGGGATAGACGGGTCCAGTTTTGGACACACTGAGCTCATTGTCTCTATTGGATATCCAAGTAGTGATGTGCAGAAGGCAGCTGGACATACGAAATGCGTTCAAAATGCCGTGAACTATTCAAATGTGACTATTACTTGAATCATAGTCTATATTTTCAGTATGTGTATTAACTCTTCACCGCCTCCAGGGAAATTTGTATAAGTGGTTTATTCAACAGTATTCTAATATCTTCAAAATATAAAGATATCTCTCCATTTTTTACTGTTCGGGAATACCTTGTCCTATTGCGCTTCACTTTATTATGCTTCACAGGTGTTGCTTTTTTTTTTTTTTTATTAATGGAAGGCAAGACCCTCCATCAGTGAAAGGATTATGACTTTATTGTGATACTTACTTTACTGCAGTCGTCTGGATCCAAAACTGCAATATCTCTGAGGCATGCCTGTATTCGCTTGTTTAACTACTTACAGCATCGTTTCTATTGTGAGCTATCTCTTATGGTTTATAGCTTCTCGCTCAAGTTCATGTGGCTGGCAGGTGGACTGGATTTAAGAAAGCTACCATGCAGATGGAGAGAGCACAGCACTCTGGAACCCTTCTTCCATCCAACCTCCCTGCCTATCACCTTTTTCTATATGCATTCTTACTTTCAGCTGCCCTGGGGTCACGAAGCCTTAGCTTAAATCAAATGTCCTCTGGCTCCAGGTCCCATGATGAAAAATTTATGGAGTCCTGGACACATTACAAGTTTTACAGCTTTACAGCTGAAATCCTTCAGGTCCTTCTGACCTACTGAAGGAAAAAATATGTTTTATTTTATTGTGATTCCCAAATGTTCTTCCAGTGTGTACATTTTTCTTACAGAATGTGTATGTTGCTTCCAGCAATGTGTTTTATATTACCTGGAAGAGTAGGGAAGCTCTGATAGAAGGAAACAACTTAGTCTTCTTGCCAGTACAAGGGAAAACAGAACTTGCAATTGGAAGGAAGCATGACCAAGTCTATGGATCATTAGTTTGTCTCTCTCTTTGACTAAGGGCACATTATATGAGTCAGTGACTGTATTTTAACTTGTTTCAAAAACAGTTTACATCCTCCAACTAATGATGTGTTGGCTTTGTGAGTGGGGTCTTTTTATTAAATTAAACACACACACACACACACACACACACACACTCACACACACTGTTTTCTTAAAAAAATCACATGTTCTTATAAAGTCCAGGATATAGCTCAACACTGTTGAATTAAACTTCTCTTGGATAATTGGCCTTCCAAATCTCTGTCAAAGCCTAAAGTCTCTCTCTTCAGGAGATTGTAAATATCATCAGTTTGGAAGGGGCTTAAAAGCAAGATATCTAAATGGGCTTACCTTGACAATGAAATCTGCGGTGAGCGGTCCAGCAATACTCAGGTTCTCTTTGCCTGGATATTTCTGGAATTCCACACTAGAATTGTCCACAAGAAAGATGCCTGGAGAGCTGAGGCTGTTTTCACCTTTAGCCCCTTGGAGGGTCTTGGTTTCCAGATCTACAGAATCAAACACATGAAGAGAAGAGAAAGATGTTCCCAGCGCTGCAGCAGACCTCATGCAAGTACTTTCCGTGGAATAGCCTAAGCTAGATGAGGGGGAAGTATCATTCTTTAGATGACTGACACAATTACAATTACAATATAAACAAAATATATAGGCACCTTGGATCACATAGGAGTTTGCGCTGCAAATAAATTACTTTAAAACTCATTATCCAAACATTCAAGTCCCCCTCCAAAACAATCTTTGATTCCCTGGATGACCTCATTTGGGCACTCTACCTTATCATAACCCTATTCCTTTTACTAATCCATCTCCCATGCATACTCATTGATTTCAGTATCCATGGCCCTCAGCCTAGAATACCCTACCACTTTTGTTTTTACTCTATGAGATCCAGGGTGCCTCACTGAGTTCCTGCAGTACCTGTGTGACTTTATATTCACGAATTACTTTGTATTTGCTTATATACTTTCTGGTTATTTATTTTAAGTGTGCTATCGTTAAAAATGAAGAAAGCCTAGTGACTTAAGGAGAGAGAACTAACTGTCCTTTGTATTTCTCTTTCTTTTTAAAATCCTTCTTGGTGCTTCGGTTAGTATTGTGTACTATATATGATATTCTGTAAGAGCTTAGGCCAGAAAGAAGAACTTCTTGATTCCTGGAACATTCCAACCTGAATCTGGCCAATGACCAAGTCTGTGAATCATGTTTTGTTGTAGGAAATCAAAGCCTGCTGGGGAAGATGGTAATTATGACATGTATTTCAGAGCAGGGGAAGTTCTTACATGATTGAGAGGGATTTGGAGTAACTGCCCGCTGCATAAGCGAACGTAGATAGGCTAAATCTAACAAGAAGCCTTGGTTTGGGCAGAGGTTCTTTAGAAGAAAGATGGGGAGCCTGAGTGAAGCCCTAGGTTTTCTACTCTATATTCCACCAGACCGATTCCTCTCTTGAAAGTTTTACAGATTGGGGTTCTGTGGTTAAGCATAATTTGAAGCTGCCTGGATATACTAAAATGCCTAAAGTATTTCTACCAAGTTCTTCTAGATGTTGTTTAAGTCAAGTTCTGTACTACAAGGAATGCCAATAGGGGGAAATGTTGGTGCTCCATTAAATGCCCATGACCCTCAGGTGAAGTCTCTGGGAGTAGGTCAGGTTGCCCTCCCCTATCTCAGCATGAAGAGGCCCTCACAGAAGAACATAAGGCACCCAACAAAATACGTGAGTATGGGAACCACAGTTGTCATCAGAGGAGAGTAATAGCACTGCATCTCCTTCCTCTAGCCTTCATTCTCCCAGCTGCCTTACATGTGTTTACATGCATTTATGGAGATATCTCCAGGATGTAAGTTCATTTCGTTTTGGAAGAATCTTGGGAGTTCTAAGCCTAATGTGAGCATCTGGTTCAATTTTATCACCAGGCCTCCTAGTAACCTTCTCAAGGTGCTCTGATGAAAGATGAGCTGGCTGGACCAGACTGCCTAGTCTTGTTCTAGTTTGGCCCCACATTTTTAAGGTTGATCTCATATTGGAGCAGCTGCTGGGAGTGAAAGGCAAAGGGTTGCAAGAGAAATAGGGCATCATTTACTCACATATTCATTTTGAGTTATAGTCCAAATACAAAACAAAGCAAAAACTTCATTAGTTATACATATGTTATCAATAGTATACCGACTGCGGGGTGGGGAAGGGATAATGAAGATTCCATTTTGCTTTTCATCATCCATAAATATCATTTGCAATTTTTATCCACCAAATCCTTGGGACAGCTAAAGCAAGGGCCAATTCATCAGCTTCTTAGTGATCACATAATTAGAGAATTTGGGAGGCTAATACATTTATAAAAATATATTTTCCTCTTATGACTATATTCCTTTGGATTCTTTCTTCCACAGTGAGGAGTTAGTCCCCAGGTTGGTGATGGTCTTGGTCTGATGTTTAATTCTTGCCTATCCCTGCTCAGAAAAATACTGTTTTTGAGTGGGATTGTTTCACCAGCAGTTACCTCTGTCCAGCTCTCAAAGGGAAAAACAAATCATTTAAATGGTAATGTGAACACATATATATCATCCTTTGACATGTGAACACTATATTTTTGGGGGCTGTTCAGGGCAAGGGAAAGAACTTGGACCCATATAAGGTGTCTTATCAGCATCTTTTGGCTTTGCCTGAACTGTACCTTTACTTCACATGACCCTTCAAATCTTGCCTCTCCCATAAAATATACTTATTTTTATTTTTAGAAAGACTATAGTAGGCTATCTGAACTTTCACAGGCTCCAATTTGTCTTCATCTTGTTTGTCTTTCTGGAACGATTTCAGCCATAATCCAATTGCCAAAAGACAGTGCTTGCTACCTAAATTGGTTTCTTAGGCATATGTGTGGGTGGGGAGAAAAAGCAGAAAATGATAGATGACTTTGTAGGAACCAGGGAACAATTGAAGTGGAGATCAGAAATGCCTGAGGGATCAACTGAAGTGAAATCTTCCAGGGGAATTGAATTTTGCAGAAAACACTAGCATATCTGCTTCTTTCTGTTCCCTGATTCACAGCCCATCATTTTCTGTTTGTAACTTAGAGGTCTGCATCTAAGCAGCACTAAATGATATTAAAAGAAAGGAAAATAAAAAAAAAAGACATGGCATGTGTAAAGGTTAGTTCCTGTACAAACACTGGGTCCATGCTACTATTGGACCTTTGGTCCCACCATAAGTTTGTACATGATCACCCCATTAGCAATCCTGAATCCAATTGGTATCTTCAAGATATTAAGGCCTTATATTGTCTTTAATACAAGGGATGCTTAATTACCCAAAATGATTTTCTTTAAATGCCACAGAGTTAAGGCTGTTTGGGGTTTCTATGTTCCTCTGAATTGATACAGTAATGAAATACAAAAAAAGGAAGAATAAAAAAGAGAAAGAAGGAAAGAGAAGGAAGTTTGAAAAGAAGAAGAAAAAACACCAACAGGCAAGGTAAAAAAAAGATAAGAATTTATTGGAAATAAAGAAAGCAGAAAATGAGAAATAATATTCACAAAAGCATAAATATTTGCTCACCTCAAGAACAAACTATGGGAGCATCTATTTTGTATTTTTCAGGATGACTGTGGTTTGAGATGATTACCAAAGAGTTTTTTGCTATCTAATTAGGCAACCAAAAGATAAACAGAAGCATTCAAAATATCATATTATGATAAAGTGGAAAGATTTGTACTTCTGTATTTTAATCTATTCTGGGAACAAAAAATAAATAATAATGCCTAAAATTCCCAATCCCCAAAGGAAAACAATGAAGTTTACTTACACAAGTGATCGGGTCCTTTTAAGGTAAGGTGAATATGTCTGCTTCCATAGGGGATAGCAACCACAGTGTCATCCACTAGAGAGAAACAAAGCAAGGTCTTAAAACACATAATTTGATACAAAATTACTGATTGTCTCCTATTAAGGCACAAACTTACATTCCTCTGCTACCTCCTGGCAAAATGACACACACTCTCTCTCAATAAAATATGACAAAAAAGCTACTGACTTGTTAACTCACAGGGATATGATCTTTAAAAAATATGTGAGTTTTGATATATGAAAAAATGAATTTGCAAGTTTTCATTTCTAATCTTAAATCCTGGTCTTATATTGGCACCCCCCCCCCCATATTAGAGCAATTGTGTTCAATTCCAAAAGAAAAATAAATTCTAATGTTCCCAGGGTGACTTTATTATATCAAAATCTGGATTTCTCTCCAGCAACGTAACTGTCTTGGATAAGCAAAACAGACTGAAGAATAGGGGAAATAAATGCTTGTTTACATTCTTTCAGCCCCTCTAGGGCAGAAACCAGGCCTTGCAGGTCTTCAATATCCTTTACTCTCTCTGCATGCAATACTGAGTGTCCCAGCAATGGTCTTCACATTTCCCCCACGCCCTCTCTGTGAGGCTTAATTACAGATTATTTAAAAAATGGATTACTTTTTAAAAATATATATATTTTATTGATTTTTTTACAGAGAGGAAGAGAGAGGGATAGAGAATCAGAAACATCGATGAGAGAGAAACACCAATCAGCTGCCTCTTGCACATCTCCTACTGGGGATGTGCCTGCAACCAAGGTACATGCCCTTGACTAGAATCAAACCCGGGACCTTTCAGTCCGCAGGCCGATGCTCTATCCACTGAGCCAATCCAGTTTCGGCAAAATGGATTACTTTTTACATTGCTTGAAACTGGGCCTAACATCATTGGAAGCAGTGCCAAAATCTACATTTTAAAAAATTGAAGGTACAATACATGGGCTCCAAACACTTCACTGGCCTTCTTATTTAGAACTTCATTTGTGACAACAACACCTTATATTTACACAACACTGAGGAGTTCCACTTGCACCTGAATCATACTACCTATTCTTTCACCCAAAACTTGTTAACATAGGCCAGGAAGATGCCACCACCCCTGCATTATGATGACGAAATGAGGCCTCTGAGAAGTATGAGTAGCTCAAGGTCAAAGAGCAGAAAACAAGGACAGCAGGTGTTTTGAACTCACCAGCATAGTCGGAAGCTCTGTGGGATTCTCTGTTTCAATATTATACATTATCATTCTATCACTAGGGAAGAAGTTAGTTTCAATAAAAGAAGCTCAAAAGGTAGCCAATCTCTCTGAACTTCAACATATCATCTTGTCTTTGGGTTAATTTAATTTTAGTAAATGAATCTCAGAAGTTTCCTAACTTCTCTGATCCTTAGTAATTCAGTTGGGAAAAGAACACTTACCTATAATATTGTTGTGAATAGGTAGATATAGATATAGATATAGATATACAGATGTATAGGCTAGAACACAGTATTTTGTGAATATAATTCATTTCCCTCTATTACAAATCTCCTAAAAAACATGAACTAAAGGACTGTTTATTTTTATGTTTTTTTTTCTTTTGTAGGTTTTTTTTTTTAATTTTATTGATTATGGTGTCACATAATTGTCCTCATCACCCCATTCCCATCCCGAACCCCTCCCCACATATGCCCCCATCCCCCTGTTGTCCATGGCCACTGGCTAGGCCCATATACATGCACACAAGTCCTTTGGTTGATATCTCCCTCTTACCCCCACCATTCTCTACTTGCCCTCTGAGGTTTAAAAGTCTGATCGTTGCTTCTCTTTGTTTTTATGTTTTTAAATGCCTCAAAGCCCCTACCACATAGCCAGCTGAACGAGAAAGAATTACATGCCGTCAATCTCTTCCCCAAAGAGGTTACAATTAACAAGTTCTCTGCAATATTAAATATTCTACTCACACTACAACTTTCTGGTTGTTTCTAATGTCATATATTGTTAAAGAGAAGACTGAATTTTGGATAGCTTCGAGATTGTGGCTTATAAGAACAAAACAGATGAGGGAATATAGAAAAGGAATAAAGAATGTTCAGCCTGGGCCCCCAGAGCTCTCCACGCCTCGCATAAAGACATGGATGTTTAAGTTTACAAAAGAAACTCAAAGCAGTGAAAACAATGGGATTTCTAGAAATAGAAAGTCTTTGTTTATCCACAGGTCAAATAAAGTGCAAGCCAAAGGGAAGCTTTCTGTTGGCGGCAGTCTTCTGACCCACACACTGCTCAGGCGGCCTCCCTCTTGTTCTGCTGAGAAGTGACTCACATTCCACGTGCCGGGGCACTGGCCAGCTTTGGGCTGATGCAGTAACCTTTGTGTGCTCCCCAAGGAAGGTGCAGTGGAACCTCCAGGTTGTTGGGGGAAGAAGGTAAGGTGGAGAGTATAGACTAGAATGGAATATCTGATGCCCATCTGCTCTTCTCTGGTCAAAGAGAAACGTGGACAACTCAGGCTGGTGCAAACTTGAACTGTCCGCAGCACACAGTTAGAGAGATAGGAGAGTCATGGCCTAGTCTACGGTTCTGTAAAGGGCTAACAGACAACTGGCAGGTTATCAGGCACCCAGCAAATTAATTACTATATTACACAAATGTTTTTGACTGTGTTCTAGTGCCAGGTTCCATGCTAGGTACCAGAGACTCAGTAATGGTCTATGAAAAAGGGATCTAAAATTAAAAAATGTATGGAAAATACCCACATTGGTTAGTTTCTTAGGAGCCTTGGACCAGAGAAACCCATTTCTCTCTGTGTGTAACCCAGTATGTCCCCAATGTGTTCATGCAAGGAAGCTTTTGCTATGTCTTATCTGTTACATCTCAGAATACATTTTAATACATGATGTTCTTAATTTGATGAAAAGCAAGATAGAAAAATTAATTTCATTTTCTGCATGTTGATGAAAAGCCAGTCTTTGAGTTGTATATGTATTAATATTTGTCTCACTTTACAATACATTCTCAATGATGAGGGATGGGTTGGGGGGTGCTACTGTTTGGTATCTGTGATAGTACTGGACCCAGAAAGGTGTGACTTCTGAGAATGTGTGAGCTGTCAGTTTCATCACAGGCCCCTCAGAGATAAATTCAGTGGATATGGCTGGTGAGCCAGTGGCTATATCCTCTCCTTGTACAACACTGGTGGTGACCTTTCCTCCAAAGGCACACTGCTCTATCATCAAGTGCATTGGCCCTAACCTAGTCTGACCCAACCACGATGCTGGTCTTCAGGACATTTTTCCAGGTTATTAATCAACAGCTCTAAAAGACCTGCTTCAGAGATCAGGCAACCTCTTTCTCCATTAGGTTGACAAGGTTTCCATGGGAATCATAAGTGTTATTTTTTCACATACTTGGTTTATAAATACCCTTTTCCAAGAAAATTATTCTCAAGAACTGTACCTAAAAGATTTTGTAAAAATACAAATCAAAACAAAACCCTGCCTACAATTATTGCTCAAGCCACATGACTCAGTTGGTTGGAGCATCAGCCTATACCACTAAAGGCTGTGTCAGGGCATATACCTAGGTTGTGGGTTTTATCCCTGATTGGGGAGCATATAGGAGGCAACCAACCAATGTTTCTCTCTCTCTTTCTCTCTAAACAAAACAAAACAAAAACAAACAAACAAAAAGCACACACACTCACACACACACACACACACACACACACACACACACACACACATATCCTTGGGTTAGTTTAAAAGTTAAAAAAAAATTATAGCTAACCCTGACCCTTTTGGCTTAGTGGTTAGAGTGTCAGCCCATGGACTGAAGAATCTCTAGTTTAATAAGTCAATTAATTAATTGACTTATTAATTAATTAATTAATTAATGGAAATTAATTAATGTGAATGAGCCCCTTTCTTGTCCAGGTTTCTCTCCCTCTCTCTCCCCCTCCTCCCTCTTTTCCACTTTCTCTAGCAATCGATGGAAAAGATATCCTCCAGTCAAGATTAAAAACAAATAAATAACAGCCATATGCATCTATATTCTACACATTTCTAGAATTTTAGATTAATTTTTAATCCTTTCATGTGTGGATTTTTCTGTATAATTCAATACTATATCAGAGAAAGGTGATAATAAAAATGATAAGTTTTGAAAAGACAGGATTTCCTATTCTGATATCTGAGTTTATCTTATTTTTAGACCCGTTGATAAGTGTATATTTTTAAAAGCTCTTTGCTCTAAGCCTATGGGGGCTGACACTCAAGCTTATCATTATTATTTTTTTGTTGAAAGAGCCATTGTTAATGCAGCTGGCTACATATAGTCTGCTAGTCTTGAAGAAGTTTTAATGGTGTATTTTTCATCTTCATGCCAACTTTATTACTCATAACATATACCCAATAAAATAAGATGTGCCCTTCTTATGCCTCCTCCCCATAGTTAATCAGTGATTGCACAATGTGGGGTATATACTGGACAGGTCAAACAAGATGTGGCCTTCCCCTGCCCTTGTTTTATCTAGGTCAAAAACTTTGGAGCCATCCTTGATTTTATGCTTTCATCCAATCAGTTAGGAAGTCCTATTGTTAAAAAGCCATATTTCATGGATTCTACAATATTTCATATTTTAATCTACATGAAATCAGAATGTATTTCGCAATCTCTGGTGCCTTATATTCATTCTCCCTGAGGGAGGCAGTCATCTGCCATACTTTGTCCGCACAGACACTCATATCAAAACAGCCAGTATCAAACTTGCAAAATGAGTGTCAGCTGCTTAAAAGAAAATTCCAATAGTTGCACACATTCATTTACCCTCTGGGAATCAAATGGTTAGGAGGGTAGTAGGGAGATGAGGAATCAGAAGGGCCAAAGAACATCTTCAAAGTGGGAGTCAAAATCTGGCCAGTTCTACATACACAATTGGACCCTGAATTAAGATCCCAGCACCAAGACTTCTGCTTTCCGCCAAATGGAGTAGTAGGGCCCAGGCTCAATCTCTTGTCTGAAACAGCCAAAAGGTCAGAAAAAAACATATGAA